TAGTTCAGATGTTCTTAAAGTTGTTCGTTTTTGACCCACAAAAGAAAAGTTGCCGACCCTCACGACCCTGACTACTGCTGTTGCTGGTTGACATACAAACATTTAAAATAAGCCTTTTAACAACTCTAACAGATCGTTGTTTTCACCCAGTTATGACTACTGTTTTTATTTCTTTGTAACAGTTAATTAAGTCTAAATATGTTATTGATAAAGTGTTTGTTTTTTTATTTAAGATGATTTTTGTTAATGTACTCAAGACACCCACAATGTATTAATCATTAATTATTAATCAAGGGGTCCTGAGCCCATCTTTAAAAAATCACTGTTGAAGATGATTTTTGTTTTTCCAATTTGGGACTCAACAAGAATTTCAACATCTGAACAAATTGAACGCGCCTTCGTTTACACATACCTGCTTTGTTCTTTACCAATACAATGCTAAAAAATGCTAATACAAAGCTCACAGCATTGAAACGGAAAGCTCTAAAGTATTGCATAATTTTGAGAACAGAATCTCCAAACATACCTGAGGAAAGTCAGCACTGACATAAACATAATTTATACTGTTCATCAAAATGACAGTTAATGTTGGTAACCAATTCTTAATTTAAACTGCATTATTTACTCATTATATTTTTGCTTTCAAAATGAGCATGTTCACATGGTTGGGATAAAGCCTCACCAAGGAACTCGGTGTCTTGAATGAGCAGAGATGGACATGGTATTAAGGGTGCAGCTTCCATTTGGTGCAATTTCTATAAAACTGTGTCTCTTTTCTTTTAAACTTTCTATGCTCATATTATATTTTGTTTTATGCACCCATTGTTCCCATAACCAGTTTCCAAACACATTATAAATCACCCTGCCACTGCAGATAATACCTTTAGTGCCAGTTTCACAGTGAACGAGAATTGGAGCCTGACATCTTTCCATCCCTCTCTTTCCCTACTGTACAGCACTTCTCTTGTGTACCATCTGTGTTAAAGGTCTGGGAAAAAGGTAAATGGTAAATGGATTGTACAAATATAGCAACTTCCTATCTAATCAAGATACTCAAAGCACTTTACAACACAATCTGTGTCCTCATTTACCTCCACACACACATTCACACAGCACTCTACTGGATCTCTACAAATATAATCAAACAAATCATTCTACAAAGACTAATCAGAGCTTTATCACAGTCATACACCGATGGGACACACATCGGAGGTAACGAGGAGTTCAGTGTCTTGCCCAGGGACACTTCAGCATGTGACTGCTGGTGGAATTCAACCCCCAACTGTCCCATTGGAGGACGACTGCTCTAACTACTTAGCCACAGTTGACCCACGGTGCAGTCTGAACTGGAAACTTCCCTCTTTTGAACAATTTACTCATCACATCATCTACTAAACACCCTAAAGAAGCTTGTGATAGTAAAATTATAGAGGACAGTTCTTACATTCTTATAATTCTTCTATTGTCAAGCCAAGAATAAAGGAGCCAAACTAAATACTGCGTTAATTATTAATCATCAGCCAAGTGTGCAACTGTCCTTCAACAACTGGTTGATTACTTACTGAATGGTCAATCAGTTCCACAATGATGTCCAATCAGGGTTTTACACAAACCACAGAACTCAAAGTGTACTCTCGCAGTTAATCAAAGGTTTGGTGTTGGTGCGTTCAAGTGATGTGTGCATCGCATGTCCTGAATCTGCAACTGGAGCAAAATGGCCCCTCCAGTTACAATACAGAAGAGGAAAACCTCCTTTTTTTTTAACACAATTTAGCTTGTGGCTGAAACAGAGAGGTTGTGGTTTAGTTGTAAATTTGGGGCTGAGACCATTTCTTGAAGAACAACAGCTGGTTGACATGTGTGATTAAAAAAAAATTAATAAAAACGAGCAAACCCCTATAACACTTGTGTGTATTCTTAGATGTGAAGAAGAAAAAAAGAAAACAGTTCTAAAGGTCATTTATTTTAAACTTTGAGACAGAGACACTCTTTTTTCTTCCTGCTTTAAGTCTCAGTGCTAAGCTACGCTAAGCTGTCCCTGCCGCTACACTAAAAACAACCAACACACGTTTTATTGACTTAAGTTTAAATAATTTTAATATGAATATAGATTTGTTAAATTACTTATTGTGTGAATGCTTATCAAGCATTCACACTATAGTGATCCTGTTTATAGTTATTATTCTTCCAATTTCCTTAAACTATTATGTACATTTTTTAGTAGCTTCAGCTACTTTCAGCTGCTATTTCAGCTGTTTTGTGCTCCTTTAAGCTTTATTCTGCTAACATCAACAATTTTGTACTTCTTTCTGATTATTTCAGCTTTCTATGCTTCTTTCAGCTTCTTTCTGCAAGTTTCAGCTATTTCTGCTATTTCAGCTACTACAGTATTTAGCTGTTTTATGCTAATTTAAGCTTTTTCAGCTAATTCTACATTTTTTGCACACATTTTTACTTTTTTTCATTCTAATTCAGCAAAGATGTGGTTGTTCCACTTGCTTTTGGTAATTTAAGCTTCTTTATGCTTTTCTTAGCTACTATTCAGCTGTTTTGTGCTCCTCTCTGCTTTACTCTGCTAACTTCAACATTTTTCTGCTTCTTCAAATTTCTTTCTGCTAATTTCTGCTCGTTTCTTCTCCTTTGTGCTCATTTCTGCTAGTTTCAGCTTTTTCTGCTATTTCTGCTACTATTTAGCTGTTTTCATTATATTTTTTGTATTCAACTAAATCCACATTTTTTTTGGTAACTCAATTCAACTGTTTTCAGACTCATTTAAGCAAAAAAAAAAAAAAGCTCCCTCCACTTCCTTCTAATACATTTTAGCTTATTTCTGCTATTTTAGCTACTCTTCAGCTGTTTATTTCTAATTTCTTTTTCAGAAAATTTCCAATTTTTGTGCTAATTTCTGCTTTTTCAGCCTAATTAGGCACAATTCTGCTCCTTCTGCTTCTTTCTGCTATTTTTAGCTTCTTTTCAGCTGTTTTATGCCTATTTCAGCTGATTTCTGCTGAATTCTTTTTACAAATAATTCACACTTTTTGTGCTCATTTCTGCTTCTCTCAGCCTAGTTAGATACATTTGTGCTCTTTATCCTTCGTTCTGGTACCTTTGGCTTGTTTTTCCATTTCAGCATATTTTTAGCTAATTTCAGCTGTTTTTCAGCAGGTTATTAAGTTAGAAGCATTCACGCTGCATTTTTGCAGAAAATGCAATTTCTCAAGTTCTTGATATGCAAATCTAACATCCATAAAAGTACTTTGCGACACCACCCCCCTCACACACATATTTAATGTCATACAATATATTAATTTGATTTTTTCTTTTTTATAATGAAATATTTATATTTGTTAGAAAAATCTGACTAATGAAAAGTAATATAACCTGCCCAGTTGAAATGAATTAGCTTTAAATATTACATTGACTTTACAAATATTGTTTTTCCAGCCAACCAGACTGATCAAAGGTCTTTACAACACAATCTGGGCACTAATTTACCCAGACACACACACACACATTTATGCTGCCCTCATCTCTCCATAGCTAATCTGAATAAATCATTCTATAGAGACTAATCAGAGCTTTAGACCACATTCATACATCAACGGGACACACATCTGAGGGGGTGCAGTGTCTTGTTCAGGGATACTTAAACTCCAATGCTCCAACCACTGTTCCACAGCCTGATACAATATGTTTATTAAATATATTGTATTACAAAAAATAAATAGCATTATTTTTAAATAAAACCAAACATATGTATTATATCTTTCTATCTGTTTCTGTGTTTAGTTGTTGTATATCTATAATATTTTTTTCAGATGCTACGAGATAAAAAATAAACACAAGCAAATCAGCAATTTAATGCACTTTCATTCTAATACAAAAAAATCCTTCATTTTTTTCCAACTAAAATATCATACCACATTGTGGATTTATTTAATATTAACAATTAAATGGTTATGTATCTTAGATTTGATGTATATTGACAAATTTGAACAATTACCCAACAAAAAATGTTTTAGTTCAACAGAACATTCAGTTTTGTAAAAGGTATTAAAAATCTATTTGTAATTTATTTATAAATAATGACCTTCCAGTGGTTTTGTAAAATAAAACTTAATACAGTAGTCCCTCATTTATCATGGGGGCTTCCATACCCCGCCCCCCTGTGATAAGTGAAAAACCGCAAAGTTGGAATAGCAGTAAAAGTAGTAAATAATAGTTTATTGTAGTGTATATATAGGTGTTTTATACCCTTCCCACACTCTTAAAATATTCTAAACAATGTTTCTAAACTCTAAAAGCTCTAAAAGAGCACAGCATGTCATGATCTCAGCTCTCTGCCAGCGCTTTTGGCCACGCCCACTTCTCCACTTCAGAGCGGAGACCCTGACATGCTGAGAAAGCTTCTCCTGCAGTTGTGGGCTGCACACAGGTGCAGCAGGTGCTAAAATATTTTAAATAAATCATTTTAAATAAACAATCTATGCCGATCGTGCGGCTCATCCTTCAGTCAGCCAACTGTGTGTCATATCCACTCTTACTTTGAAAAACTGATAGAGCGAGTCCGTGAAAGTCGAACCGCGAAGTAGCGAGGGACTACTCTAACGTGTTTATGTTGTATTAAAACATGTAAACTGTCCATACATGCTATTTAAAAAAATATATATATACGTATATATATATATATATCACATTAAAATGGGAAGCAACTATAAACCAGCTTTTATTACTTTGAATGTATTAAAACAATTTAATTTTTGTCACTATTAATGTTTTCTCAATGAGTGAATTATTTGGTTCATAATATTCCTCAGTTTGCTATTCCTGAACTCTATTTTGGTTGTTTAGCTTTTTTTAAATCTTTTATATTATTTGTGTACCTTCAGCCCACAATGACAGGAAAATTAAGTAAATTTTAAAGCAGACACCGTCTGTTATTTTTCTTTTCTTGAGTAAAGATAGAACTTATTTACCATTATATTTCATATTCCACCTACCTGTTGCATGTGTAAGTCCCCACACCTCCTGGCCGTAAACATCTGTCTTGTTCCAGACCAGCTTGTGGACCAGACCGGGCCCAGCAGGATACCACCGCTGGTATAACCTTCCTTGGACAGACGCACGGACGTGCACCTTGGACAGGCCACCCAGGGGGGAAACGGGGGACGACGGGGAAGGAGGAGTGAGGAGGATTCGCAGCAAAGAGAAGTAGCCTGCAGCACGGGTGCTCAAGTAGTTCAGCTTCACAAAAGCTCCTGGGATGGAAACTTCTTCCTGGATCGCCTGGGGAGAGCGAGAAGAGAGAAATATGGCCATGAAAAGGAAGCTGAATGTGAACTGAGCTCCACAGAGAAAGAGATTAATATAAAAGAGAACGGTGTCCCATCACGACGTTTAGTTGTAGCAATGAGCAGCTGTAATAAGAATGACTGTCGTGTTTTGGGGACAAAAAGCTGCTGTGAAGATCTGCACCGCAGCAAAGATAGCTCGTGTTTTACTTTTATTTTTTACCAATCAAGTGAATTAGATCTCCAAAGCCTTGTGTTGATAGGCTATAAAATACGTTATGTTTTATGAAAATATAGAAAGTATATTTTTACATTCAAATACAAAAATATGGGCGAATAAAAATGATGTTCATTTTAACGACTAAGGCATAAAAATCTGCTTCAGTTCCAGCAATATTTCTGTTGACTAAACCCCTAAAATAGATTTGTACTTCCAAACAGTCCAGAGCCTTTGATTCAATCCATGTGTACAATGTAAAGGAACACACACTGCTTCGCTTTCAATCTTGCTTTTTTTTTTCTGGATGCCTCTTTATCCCCAGGTGTTGTTTATTGATGGGATCTTTGTAAAAATCTCATCCGATTCTCTGATGTTAGATAGAAATCTGAAAAACTTACAAAGTCATGCTGGAAATGACTAAGAAAGCAAAAAAATCCATTTCCTCCTAACAAAATGACTGTCCATCGAAACACAAATATTTGTTTATTTCATGTGTAAATCTAGCAGGTTAGGTATATTCAGTAATAAACAAATACAAATAAAACTTTAGAGTTATACTTTAGTGTCAACAGTCTGACCTCTATGGTTGACTTTCAGACACCTGATTTGCCTCTGTGGTGGGGAAGTATATTGATGTAGCACACATTTGCATTTTTTTCATTTGCATGATGCAAATATGAAATCGGCTAAATTTGCACAATCCTCTGGGACCAGGCGGGTTTGTTGCTCAGCTGTTACAAATCACGTCCAGGAGTTATTTTTACTGACTGCCTTAAATACAATAGAGTCACGGCTGCTTTGTTCTGTATCATGTGTTTTGTTTTATAGCGAAGCCGCACACAACATGCTAAAATATTGATCATGAAACATAAATCCACGTCCTTTTAGAAGGTGGTACTGACTTCGGAGAAGATGAGCCATCCCTCTAAATCAGGTGAAATATAGAGTGAAAGGTCTTGATTAATACTGAAAGCACTGATATGAAAATATATTTAGACATGCAAATTCCCCCTAGTATGCATTGCAATAACTTTATTATTCATTTCTGTTTGATTTACTTATTAGGCATGTTGAGAAACTGAATTTACCACAGCACCATCATCACACAGCCTGCACGGTCTATCTGTCTCTTTTTGTTCTTTAACCAATAAAAATGAGTTGTACCTGTAGTTCAGGCACAGCCGGCCCCTTATCTGTGCATGACCCAGTGTATCTGGGAAGAGGGTAAGGCAGAACCAGTGGATAGGGGCTCAAAACACTCCTTATGTCACATTTAGAAGGCTGAGCTTCATCTTTGGCCATTGTCACTTGATCCAGAACCAGGAAGTTGTTGTTTGGCGTCCACACGGTGCGTGTCTGGGAAAGGAAGGGTGGACGCTGGAACATGAGGGTCACTGAAAACGCACCGAAGGTCACCAAGTCAAAGCTAAAAGTAAAAGAGAGCAATGTAAGCATAAAAAGCAGAAGAAAACCATTAATGCAAATGTAGTCACTGACAAAAAAAAAAAAGTTAAGCACCCAAACAGAGAGAAGCATGACAATACTGCTGCTCCTGTATCAGTTAGGGCTGAACAGTTAATTGCATTTGCAATAATATTGCAATATGATAAAAGGAGACTTTCTAATCGCAAAGGCTGCAATTTGATTGGTCACGTGACCTGGTTACGTGACTTGAGAGTGAGGGAAGCAAAGCAGAACAGGGAGCAGAAGTCAACACTGTGTTTCAACCAGTTGCACAACGGCGTCAGGCTCGACAGAAGCTGACACATCTGAAAGTTTGGTACCAAAGAGGGACAGCACGTCCGTTGTTTGGAATTATTTTGTCTATAAAAAGAAAACGCTGCGCAACAACATGTATTGTGCAGAACCTGCCTTGCTGCTGTTGCTACTTCTCGAGGTAACACCACAAATCTTTATCAACACTTAAAAAAAAACACAAAACCATTTACGATAGTTGCACAGCTAGAATGCCAACGACCAGTGCTCCAACTTATAGTAGACAAAGTAGCAGCCGACAGGGATCACTGACCGAACTGTTCGAAGGTATTACTCCGTATGAACATAATTTGAAACGGCACACGGAAATAACTTGAGCAATAACGGAGTTCCTAGTGAAAGACATGATGCCCGTTAATAAAGTGACCGAGCCTGGGTTTACGGCTTTAGTAAACACAATGGATAAGCGGTGCAGAATGCCCTCGTGCACACATTTTAGACAAGTTGCTATCCCGGAGCTACACACAAAATGCAGAAACAAAGTTGCAGCGGCGCTGAAAACAGTGGAGTTTTTGCAACTGAAACAGATTTATTGCTCGTGTTCATTGAAAAATACATGAGAAGAAGACATTGAAAAAATAATTGCATATCTAAGTAATGAGGTAAAAAATTACAATTGGAAAACTTTCAAAAATTGTTCAGCCCTAGTGTCAACAGTGCCTCGTTCCTTCAGGCCTTGATACAAGTAATATAGAATAAAGTATTTTAACTGCCTTATGATCTAGAGCAGGGATCTGCAACCTTTGTGATAAAAAGAGTCATTTTTGCCACTTTGTTTATTATTTATGACGTCCAGAGCTGCAAAACCTGCTTCAACTGTGAACTGTCAACTGGTGACCTGTGGACCACTACAAGTTTGTTGGAGATGGTTTTCCCAGCCAGTGGGGATGATATTATAAAACAAAAAATGTCTAACTATTGTTAACATATATTGATAGTTTTACATTTTAATACGAAAGAAAAGACCAAATTCATGCAAAGAAAGAATATATATATATTTTTTTAACAATTTTATAAATATTAAAACACTGAACTGAAACTGAAGCATAAAGTTAGACAGTATCAAATTAGACCAGTTTGTTGGATATCCAGTTATATTTTTAAAGAAAAATAAAAACTTTTATGTACTTTGATTTTTTTGTGTGTTTTATTCTTCCAGTCATCAAATATTTCTTCTCAGCAACGTGTCTTAAAGATATTCCAAACCATTCTGGTGGTTTTGAGAGAAAGATCACGCTGAAAGACAAGAAGTCGACTTAAAGTGGCTAACAAACTACATGCATGATGCAGTTCACGTTTTACTCCTTGTATTTGTACTTTCCTTCACATATTTGAAAATGACAAGAAATCTGCTAAAACTAGCCATTTTCATTGTTGGTAATCATTTAAATAAAATGCAGTTTTATTTTAATTTTGGTCAAAGCCTGAAAGAGCCGTTGCAGCGGTACCGAAGGCCACAGGTCAACCTCAACATAAACTCCAAGTTGTGGTGCTCCAGCATATGGCCAATAACATTCTCACTCCATATCTGCCTTCTGCTTCCCCTTCCTATCATTTACATCACTGGTCTGCATAATCACTCCTTCTGGGTGCTTACCTTTTCATTGGTCAGTGAGTGTACAGTAAATGTGTATTTCTCTTTTGTTTTTACCTTCCATCCTGCCTACTGATTGTGTACCCATACTCAGGATGCTGTGGGAAGGTGATGTTGACTCCAACCAGAGGAGAGCCATCCTGCAGCACTACTCTACCTCGAATCACAGCCACCCGACTGTCAAAACAAAGACAGGGAGTTGAAAGATAAAGAAAAAATATGGAGATAAACAGATGACAGATGCACAATGCCGGAGAACATAATCATTGTTTGAAGAAAGCAGCATATTGTCATGCACCAGCCAAATGACCTTGTGCGTGGGAAAAAAAAAAGCTGCTGCATTTATTCTGCTCAGAACAATTCCCTTTTTAGCGCAGAGATATCTGCTAGAGATTGCCAGGATACAGACCATAAATATAACCTCATCCACAGTAAAACCTCTCAACGCCTTGTCATATAAACACAAAACTTTAATGTCTGCTTTGTTTTATCTGAGGCAGCGCCACTTGCAACAAAAAATGTGTTTTTCAAATAGATTTTTACCTCACAAGGATAAATAAATTGTGGGGTAAATTCCAGTTTAATCTAGAATAACTGGTTCACTGGTCAAATGAAGACAACTAGACACAGATGTGTGCAGCCACTGGTGGGGTAACATCTATTACTCCAGAAAATGGCTAAATGAAAAATGGTGAGGTTTCTGTGGGTGACTGCACTGCCCTGTTTATTACTCCCATCCTGAAAGCTGCCATCGATTTATCCTCTGAAAAAAAAAAAAAAAAAGCTGTATAATTAATTAATTTATTTATTCTACAAGAGAAGCAAGGGAGAATAAATGCACTTTGCTATTTTTCACAGATGCATCACCTCTTGCTTTCCTGACCAAACTCTTTCTGGGTCATCATAATGAAAGTGCATTTCTGCTGCTAGATGGCAGCGGGAGTGCACTACAAAGAAATAAAAAATAAAATCACAGTGGCACCTTTGCAACAAGTATAACTGAGTGACACAATGGGCATTAATATGTAAGAAAAACTTTGTAGCTGTATTCTGACAATGATACTTGGGGACAGAACAATGCCGCCTGAGTCTCCAGGGTAACACAGATCAGTGAAATGTATGCAGAGACGTGTGAACACATGAAAGCCTCGTTCACAAGCAAACACACAAGTGCAGACACATGTTCATTAAAAAGATAATAGGAGATTGAACATTTGCTTTTATTGTTACAGATGCTATAATTCTTGCCTTTCAATGTGCTAAGACAGCTCAAGGACAGAGACAGAGAAAAACAAATACATAAAAGAGTTCTCTTGCACAGACACACACCTGCACACACACACACACACACACACACACAAAGAGTAAACAAGTGCATACCTGGTATCAAAGGGCACGTCTCCAGGGAGACTGTGTGTGGCTGCCTTGCCAAGTAGAAAGCGTATGCGGTGGTAGAAGCTATGTGTGTGTGTGCTGGTGAATGCAGACGGCATGGTGGGGGGCTGCGGGCTCTGCTGCAGCAGGGCCAGTGGGTCGGCGGAACCGTGACACAGGGGGTCAGAGCCACAGCTCAGCTGCTCACAGCAGTCTGGATCTACACAGTCTGTCAATCCATCTAGGAAAAACGAAAAACATAATAAAATACAATGTATACACTGATGGCCAGTAACTCACTGGGAGCTGTGAAATGTAAATCACAAGCTGCTCATTAATTACGAGTATTACTGTAAAGCTCATTATGGGTCATCAGTTGGCAATTACTGCGTTTTAATGCTATAAATATGCCTCAAATCAGCAGCGGTACTTGAACGCGATCCATAAAAGTCTGGCGTAAACAATGGGCCGCAGACACAAACAGAGGCGGACAGGTAATAGGAGCCAGGCTGGCATTCATGTCTCCTATTCCGAGCCCATTTTTGAAAAAAGGCAGGAAACAGTGCTGACATTTAAATGCATCTGACCACAGAGCGGAGAGCTAAAGGGCAACAACATTCTATTATAACCTCGTCCTACAAAGATAGCATGCTACAATGGGTGATTTCTATGAGAGTCACTGTTTGAACTCAAAAGAGATCAAGTAATTGAATTTCACAGGATTGTAGTTTATTAACAAGATGGAGCTGTGCAAAAGGAAGATGTTTCAAAAAGTGTACAGTAATATTTTTAACATGGGGAATAATTGGGATGTTGGTGTATTTCAGTGCAGGATAAACCTTCTTTAAAAGGAAGCTGTTAGCATGTTTTCTGTTTTCACATCTAAAGGCTCCCATATACTTGGCCGTACATTGTGTACTCCATGAGCTGCACGGACACTGCACAGACGGTTCAGACTTCATACTCCAGCGTAAACCCTGGTGGGCTGCAGGCCAGCTCTGCAGGCAAGGGGCGTTTACCTTCAGGACAAACTGAGTTTGTCGATTGGTCATTTTCTGACATGCCTACTGGATTGATTGACAGGTCGCAACCCCCCCCCCCCCAAAAAAAAATAAAATAAAATAAAAGAGCTACCAGCGGCTCTAGTTAGAGGCAGCTGGCAGCACAGGAGCAGCGAGAGCGGTGTTCTGTGATTATATGTTGTTACTAAAAAGTTCTAAAACATAAAATAAAACAGGGAGCACTGGCTTTGCAGCCCACACATCAGACTGACCCACCAGGAAATCTTGGAATAAACAAAAGATAAGGCCATTAAACCAGATCAGGGATGAAGAAGGGGAATTTAATACATTGGTGTCTCATACAAAACAGTCCGTCGCCGGGCAGTTTATTGTGCAACACCGAGTACGTGGTCGTAAAAATTGATCTTTGCGCAGACGTGGCTTGAGGGTGTCCGCGTTGAGTCTAATCTGGAACGCACGGACCTCCACGGACTGAAGTACGCCCGAGAATGTGGGAGCCTTAAGTGGAATGCTAACAGGACCACGCTACTAACAAGACTTGCTAACGGTGCTAACGAGACCACAACGCTAACAGAGCCACTCTGCTAATAGGACCATGCTGCTGCAGATTTATTTCACATTTCACTCTTTCACTTTTGGCGTCTTGTTTTGTATTTGTGTTGCATGCTTTAGCATTTCTTGTTTTTATTTATTTATCTATTTTTATTTTTTTTGGCGAGTTGAGATGTTTATTCTCACCCTGAGCATTTCATTGCATTGTTGACCTTGTGTTGATTCTGCATTATGTCAAATAAACCAAAGTTAATAGAAGCTCTTTTTCAAAGTTCCTCCTTACTCTGATCACTAGAGATAGCACATTTTGTCTCCGTCCACATTAGGAGACAAAAGACTGTTACAAGACAGGACTTAGGCAGATGACGGCATTTCTGTATTTTAGTGGAGAGAGCTGTGGTAGAAAATACAGTATTTGAAAAGCTGAACACACAGGTGGAAACCAGGGGAGATGAGTCTAAATGGTCTATGAAGCTTTGTCAATCATTTCTTTTTTAAGCATAATCACAACTAAACTGGTCATTTTGATACATTATATTTGATAAAGTTGGTCAAATCTCATTCACCTTTCTATGCAAATTATAAGAAGATCATACAAGCTTTATGCTCGTCAGGCTGATATAGATGCATATAAGATATTTGTGTGCATTTCTGATTTACAGTTTTGGTTTTATTTTTTTATTAAAATTACATTTTGGTAAACGAAGCAGCCTGCAAATGTACTCCTCTCCACCCACATCCGCTCTGCCATAATGATTTTTGTTTCCATCCATAATTTCGTCAGTCTTAACCATGTTTGGTTCAAACTCAACCCCTCTCATCATGCTGATAGAAACATCCCCACAGCATGATGCTGCTAACACCATGCTTTACTATGGGGGTGACGTTCTCAGCACGATGGGAGGCTTTAGGTTTGGACCAAACGTGGTGTCCTCAATGGTTTAAAAGTTGAATTTTAAACATTTGATCCTTTTGTACCACCTTTTCACATTTCCAGGTTCTGCAGAGAACTTTAAATATTTTTTCTTCCATTCACTCATAATACCCGTACGGTGCTTTCAAATATTAATTTTTACACACTACATAAAATTTTTATCTTCTCACTGGTAAGCATATTAATGGGATACAGTTTGTTGCCCACTTCTGTGCACTGCAGGGGCCGTCTGCCTGTTTTTTTTTAACTTTCTTTAAACATGGCCTTTTTCCTGCCACACTTCTATGAAGTCCACCTTTATGTAGCTTATATTCAATCAGTCCAGACGACCTGCTTCAAGTGTTTTGTGATTTATTTACATTTGTTTACAGCAGGACTTTTGTGAACCTCTTTGTCCAGGTTGTCCTCAGGCTGGTTTGGTGAATAGCTAGCGACCATCAGGGCACTAACGATCGATTGTTAGACTGATGGTCCTCCTTTTACATGTGAAAAACTAGTTTCTGGAAGTCCACAGCAGACTGGTTTGAGCCACTTTGAAAAGGTGTTATTTATATGACTGAGTTTGTGGCAGGCCTCAGACGGCTGAAGAAAGACGAAACGTTTCAAATAAGAAGAATCCTTCCAGATGACCTGATTTAACTTTTCTGTGATCCCATGGATAGACACTCTCATCTTTGCAAAAGAACAGCCCTGCTCCATCGGGGGTTATGTTTGGCCTCTTCGTTGCGTCTGTGATTAATGTTCTTCTTGCTCAGTCTGTAAGTTTTGGTGGGTGACCATTCATCCATTTTCTAATAATGGATTTAATAGTGCTCTGTTGTACGTTAAAGGTTTTAGATATGTTTTATAACCCAACCCTGGCATGTATTCATCTACAACATTGTCTCTGATCTGTGTGGAGGGTTCCTCGATCTTCATGCTGTCTTTTGTTTAGAGGTACCTCACATTACTCAGATGTGCTGCTCTGGTGGCTGTCAACAGGTGTAAATGACACAGACTGCCATAATCCTAAATCAGTTTTATTTACAAATAAGATGTAAATATATAATATAAATCCTATTTAGGATTAGGGCAGTCTGGCTTCTGAATGTAATAGTTGGATACTGAAAACAAAGCAACTAGTTTATGCACACATCAATTTTCTTTTTTTTTTTTCCTGTTTTTATTACCCACAACAATATATTTTTCAACCATTTAAAATACTTTTTTTTTCTCATTAACTTCATTATTTTGAGTATTTTTAGTAAATTTACTTGTAAATAACAAATAGGAAACCCATAGAATTTAAACACTTAAAAAAAAAAATAGATACGGACGTATGGACGGACGGACGTACGGACGGACGTACGTACGTACGGACGGACGGACGGACGTACGGACGGACAGATAGATAGATAGATAGATAGATAGATAGATAGATAGATAGATAGA